ATGTAAATAGACAGGCTGACCACTGGATTTCAAGGCAATTGAGATCCTGTGAACTGTCTTTGCCTCCGAGTTTTTTTCAGGTTTTGTGCTTTGTCTGTAGGTCAGATATGCAGGCCACATTCTTGCTCTGCAAGAATGCAGAGCATTCTTGGGCTTTAAAATCTATAACCAAAGGGGCTAGACAGGGAGGTTTTCTAAAACACACACATAAAATATCCAGCTATGTTAACAGAATGACAAAATATCAAGTCATGAAGAAAAAAGAATACTGTTTCTAGACACAGCTCTAGATGTAAATAATAGTGTCCAAGAGTTTCCATGTTTGTTAGTAAACTTTAAGCAGAATCTCTATATTGAAACTGATTAGTGTCATTGAAAAATGGAAAATCATGTCAATCCCACTCAGAAAAAATGTACATAGTCATTATTATTTACATGAAAGGCCTCTGAGAAAAATTTGTTTTTATGTCATAAACTCTGTATAGATGATTAAACAGAATGTGTCCAAGCAATTTGAACAATCTCAGGTGCACCAGAAATGAAGAATATTGCATCCTGTTGCCACATGTAGATTTTCTGGCATTTAACAACTTGTTAGATAATGATGTAGTCATTCCCCCAGTGGGGTACTAATCCTAGTCCTTCTGATTGCCTGCTGTAATAAAACCTTTGAGATCTTAGTACCAGTGAGATACCTCCTTTCTGCCAAACTTGACTATAATTGACCAATGAATTAAAAAATTACAGGAAATCATGAACACATACAGAATATGACTCCTCAAAACTGGGTTTAAATATATCTAATCTGTTCACACAGCCCCAAATCCCTAAAGGTAATGCTTTTTCCTATAGGTCTCTCTTAATGATGGTTCAGTAATCTTTTAACTGTGAGTTAGTTCTTATAGGAAGAAAATAGCTTTCTCAGTAAAGTGATTTCTTCCTTTCAATCATCAGGAAATTAAGACTGATTTAGTTTCTCATCCTTCGAAAGCATAGTATAAAGAAAGAACACTCGGGAAAAAAAATGGACTTTGTTGGCCTACACGTAAGGACATAATTTGTAGATGACAGTACCTTTTATTAGCTCGGTTGGATTATTGAGAAAAAGTAAAGAACTTTTCAGGCATACAGATCTTTCTTGCCTTTTTTTATAGCAACAGCATTTTCTGGTCAGTCTAAATAAAAGCACTACCTCCAGCTAAAAATCTTCTGGAGAAAAAGTCCTAAAAAATTTACAGATGCCATCAGAGAACCCCAATCACAGCTAGGACAGCCTTGAGACTACTTCTCTAACATATTGAGATGCTTCAGAGCAGTCATCAAGAAATATTAAACAAAGTGATAATATCTGATGCTTTAACATCAGGTTAAAAAAATATCCAGGAAGATCAAGATGAGTAATAAAACCAATACACTACAAAGGAGCAGGAGTCAGTGTAATTACCTAACCAGTCTCTTATTTAAAGCAGACCACTGCACCTCTGACTTAAATCTTGTGTAACGGAGAGGAACATTTGGACTAGTTCAACACTTGTTCCATGTAGGTCTGAATCATTTTTGCCCTTTAACCGCTTCAGCTATATAATGTACTCTTAGTCCTTTCCTTGGGCTTCATTTGGTATTTTCTTCCCTCATCCTTTCCTGAGGCTTCATTTGGTGTTTTCCTCAAGTAGAGGTGAGACAAAATCATTATTATTTCATTAAATTAAGATATCATATTGGGCAGCATAAACTGGTTTCACTGTCTCCAAAGAATTAAAAAAATATATGAGTGAAAAATTTTTCTCTGCACAAAGTGTCACCTCTTAATTTGTCAGTTTGTTCTTTTGTTACTTCTCTTTTAAAACACAGAACTTTTTCTCCTGGTACTTTCTGAGTTATATAAAACACTTTCATAATCTTTACTGTTTCTTTCTCCCCAAGATGGCATTTAAAGTAATACACAAGAATCTGAAATTGCAGTACTGCCTGTGATTAAGACTCAGGGAAATGTATTTTACTTGCTCTGAATGATCTCATATTTAAATAAAAGAACACTTTAAAGAAAAACAAAACACTCTAAAAATGACACATTTCTTTCTCCCTCAGTAATTTTCCACCTTCTAACATTTTAAATAAGGAAGGTTTGCACTTTAGCACAAACTTTCACAGAAAACTAATCAACAAAATGAATGCATTATTAGGATATAACTGCTGAAATTACCACAGCAGGGTGGTTTTGTAGCTATGTTGGTACCTTCATTAGGCAACTCAGGCTGAGCAGGATAATGTGTGTGTATACGTGGATATATCCAGATATAGATTTCATAATGAGAGAGAAAGGTGGGCAGAAGATTGAGCAATAAGAGGACATGAGATTCGAAGAATGAAAATTCTGTGTCCAGGGTGTGTTTTGTTGGGATTCCCAAGATGAGGTGAATTCCTCTCTGGCTGGGCTGGACTGGCTCTGTACAGAGGAGTCATGCAGGTCTGAATTCTCCCCTCTCTCTATATCATGCTCTCTCTTATGGTACTGTTAAAGACATGTTACTGATAACTTCTTTTTTTTCCAGTTTCTCTCTTGTTTACTTCATCTGCCCTACTTCTCAGCTTTCACTCTAGACACTTATTTTCCAGGTTTTGTTCTCCTGTTCTCTCACTTTTTCAAGCAATTTCCATTTCTCAATCTGTTTTTAAAGTCAAGCTTCCTGCCTTCTTTTATTTTTTCATTTTTCCTAGGTCTCTGTGTTCCTTCTTTTTGTTTTCTTCCCATTCTCTCTTTCTTAGTACTACTCCACCTAGGTCTATTTTACTCTTTCTTTGTAATTTGACTGGAGATGAACTTTCTACTCTCCCAGCCTTTTTTCGTGCTTCCCCACCAGCTTCTATATAATTTCCAGTCAATTTTTGCTTTCTTTAGTAATTTCCTTTCTCTGCCTCCTGGGCATGCAAGACAAGCTATTCACTTTCAGAAACAGAAAACAAGCAGCAAGCCTGCTGAAAAGTCCCTGAGCTAGGCAAGACAAGTAATAGTTATTGCCAGCATCAGCCAAGACTGCAGTAAGGAAGTCTCACAGGGAGCTGAGGATTTAGTCTGGGGCTCCTCCTGTGATGCCACCGTGCTGCTAGCAGTGGGAGAAGAGAATGACTTTCCTTTGGAAAAGAGGTGATGCCTGAAGCTTTACTAAGAAAAGTAGTGTTTAAACAGGAAGGAAAACAAGTTTTTCCTCATCCTTTAGAAAAGACAGCCAGTTGAAATCTCAGTATGATATTTATTCCCTCATACAGAGTAAACTTAGAGGGGTAGCCTGGGATTACCCCTATTGACTTAATGACACAGCAGTGTTCACACCTTGTAGTGCTGTTGCTTGAGTTAGTTTTTGAATTTAGGCAAACAGCAGATATCTTGCATCAAATTTAAGATGTATTTTTACAAGGAAGACTAGTTCTCGGGCTTCTGGTGAGACCTCTTTTCCAATTTATTTTTTAAGTTCCACTGGATTTATTTGTAAAGGAAGTGATAGCTCAGGGAAAGGTGGTTGTTTCTTCACTCTGTTCACTCTTCATCCATTTGCCTCATTAACTAATGGCTTCCCTTCAAAGGGGGGATTTCCAATTTTTCCCAGATGCAAGGGGACTGATCTGAAGAACCAACTATGGTTCTGTTGTTCATGCTGTGGAATTACCTTCCCCACCATGTCTGCAAGCAGGATATAACACTGTGGGGCTGGGAGAAGAAAAGATCTCTGGATAAGTATAGCCAAGCTTCATGCTCAGAGAGCTGTCTGCATGGGATATATGAGATATATCTCATGAGATATATGAGACAGCAAACGCATAGGAGATTGAAAAAACCACTTCCAGCAGGAGTGCAATGCGTCTCAGTCAAGGGAATGAGAGCAATTGTAGGTGGGATGCCTCATTTACATCAATCTCAAAGACTTGGTTTAGTGTAAGAAATGCTAGGGGTACTCCACTGACAGTAAAATCATGTTTAGTTTTACAGAGCAGTTAGGTGACTGCTGGTTTTATTTTTCTTTCATTTGCTTTATGTGCATATTATATACAGATTATACTTGCTCTTCCTGTCATGCTGGGTTTGCTACCTCAGTAGATGTTATCTGCCTAAGCCCCTCTCTAAGTGTAATAGTGATTAGTCTCAGCTCTTCAATACACTGTTAAATCTGTAATGGCAACTGATCATGTTAATTTCCTAACACAATATAAGGTTTCCAAGAATAAACTTGAAAATATTTCAGAAATTGTTCCTTTTTTTTTTTTTTAATTTATTTATTTATTTATTTATCTTTATTTATAAAGCAAGGACACTTATAGCCTTTTGGTACTAATATTTTCATGTAGATGTGCTCATTGTTGGCCCTGTAAATATAAATGCTCTTGGCAGGAGAAACCCCTTAGGCCTTAGGAAAAGAGTAGTGCTTTCTGCATATAGGGGTCTACTATATAACCATTTCTTTGAAGAACAGAAATGTATGCCTCTGTGTTTATAAAATGAATTAAAAACTGGGAAGGAAATTTTCCTGTTGATTTCAACTAGCTAACTGTAATATACATTTATATTGCCACTGGATAAGTTCAGAACAGAAAGATATTACTGGTGTATAATTTGAAAACACAGGGCTTACATAAATCCATAACTTTAATATAGTTATTGCAACAACTAATCTTGTGTCAGGCAGAGTAATACCTATTTAATTTTTATCTTTCTGTCATATTTTCCCCTTAAATTCCAATGGGAATAATAAATAACATGTGAAAAGTCACCAGAAGAAGACAATCTTTAACCTCAGAAATGCAAGTCAGACTGCACTGATGTTTCAGTCACTTCACTAGAAACAGATGAAATATTTTATAAAATAGGCACAGAAAGAGACACAGAAATGTCCAATGTGAGGATAAAGAAATTCTTTGTGAAGAAAGCAGAAAGTCTTTTTTTGAATGTCCATCATATTGTACATATTTACTGACTGTGATTATCATGATGTTTCCTTCCTATTTAGGAGATTGTCAACTTCAACTGTCGGAAGCTGGTTGCTACAATGCCTCTTTTTGCTAATGCAGACCCAAATTTTGTGACTGCCATGCTAAGCAAACTGCGATTTGAGGTGTTTCAGCCTGGAGATTATATTATCCGAGAAGGGGCTGTGGGTAAAAAGATGTATTTCATTCAACATGGTGTTGCTGGTGTCATCACCAAATCCAACAAGGAGCTGAAACTGACAGATGGCTCTTACTTTGGAGGTGAGTAGAAAAAAATGAATGATAACACTGAATTGAATGCACTAGAATAAAACATGTTCAGATAACAGACAAAAAGAGACTTCAGAATAAGTCTACTAAGCATCTTTTGCCTAGACAATTCAGACTGCATTAAAAGGTATGCAAAATATTTCCGAATAAGTCATTCAGAGTCTGCTTACTGTTGTGAGGACAGATATTAAAGATGCAGGATGACCTTCCAGAATTTTGAAGTTATTTTGAATTAAGAGCACTGTTATTTAACAGACAATATTTAAATAAAAATATAATCATTAACATGGTAATTTTATAGCTTTTTAAAGGTAAAATTGACAGGATTAATCTTTGAAAAAGAGCGCTTTTTTAAATCATAAATTTAAAGGTAAAAATCATGTTAAGATTTGCAAAATTAGGCAATGGATAAAAGAGCAATTTTACATGGGATATTTTTGTAATTCACAAATATTTCAAGTTGTTATTAGTGCTTTTTCACTGAATTTTAGCACAAAGCAACATTTATTCTTCGGGTATATATTATGAGAAATTGGACTCCTTATCTGACTGGGTAGGTCTCTAACAGATGTATATTAATAAAAACAAGGCATGGGTTTTAATCCTAATTAAATTAATCTGGTAATCCTAATGAAAATAGCTTTTTTTTTGGATGAAGGGATTTGAATATTTATATTTGGATTAAAGCAATTTCTTTTTTTATACCTAATAATTGACCGATATAAAAAAAGTTGTTCCTTGTGACTGCAGATTGTCTTTGTGTGATAGTATAGGCATCTGCTTCCATAAGCAGCAGCAAAGCTGGTTTTCAGAAGCTGATTGAACATTTGTGTTACCACTGCTGCCCATGAACTTGGTCATTTTATCAATTTTCTGTTGAATTCCATGAATCATCTCAGAAATGAGCTGAAAGCCTTTCAGAAAATGTTCAATTGAAAGCCTAATCAGTGCCATTTAGCTGGTATACAGAAGGGGGAAGCTTAGAAAAGTGAATTGGGCTCAGCGTTTGAATTGTGTTATAGAGTTATTTAACTAATCCCATTTTAGAATAATACCCTAAAGCAACTCCTACTGATCTGGCCAGCAGACCTTGTCACTCCGCAGTAGCCTCTGCAAGGTGATTTGTATCACCAGTATTTGTAGAAGCACTTCGGTAAAAGAGGTCTTGTGCTTATCCCACAGGATTAAAGTGTAGATTCTGAAGACAGGAGATAAAGCAGAAAGAAAAGGTAATGCTGGGGATGAAGAAACAGAGCAACCTTGGTCTTGGTCTCCTCTATGCTTAACAGTGCCCTAGTTTATGAAAATGAGTTTGCAAGAGCCTGCGTGCTGAATTTGGCCATAATACTCCTCTGAACCAGAGAGGATCAGAGGAGATTGCACATGAAAGTATTTTACATAACTGTCAGCCTGTTGTTGCAGTGCAAACAACTATTTAGCTCATCCTGTTCATCCACTACCCTTCTTACAGGAATGAAGGCAAAAAAATAAGCTACTTGCGATATTCAAACACCACAAGAACTTCCGACGCTGCATACCAAAGCACTTTTGCTCATCTAAATTGCAGCTGTCATGAGACAGGTGTTGCAAAAATGGGTGCAAATGCATCCAAAGCCCAACGGCTGCTGGTGCAAATGGAAGGTAATAGCTACTGCTGTAGCCTGGAGAAGTGTCTAGTGAAGAATTAATACACAATCTGTTCAGTAATTTCTTTTGTCACAAGAAGAGTAATTTCTAATCCAATCACCTGGTACTGAGAGGAGACAGTTCAGTTGGATTGAAACCTGCCAAATTCCTCCCTACTACTTACTACTGGGATTATACCATTAATGATTCTGAACTATCAAGATGTTAAAGAGAAACACAAAATATGGACTGAGACAGAGAAGAAAAAAGGGGGGAGCTCTCCTTGTCCACTGCTGTGTACTTAACAAAGACTGCATTTTCAGTATTGTAAATGGTAGATACTCAGGACCATGGCAAGATAACAAAAAATGGAATAACTTAGCCATCACAACATCCTCAAAATACAATTGCTTACATTTTTGACTTGCCTACTGATTCTTATTCTCCATTCCAGAAAGACTGAATTGAAGTGTTGAATTCAAATGTTCGCCTCAAGCTTGCAACTCAATTAAGCTGCAAACACATGTGCAGTCAGGTTTTCCTACTTGTTGTTCAAAAGGGATAGGTTTAAGCACCTTCCCACACTTTTCCAGCTCCTGAAAGTTGTTCAGACACATGCTTGTCCCTTGCGTTTTCTTCCCCTTCCCATCAATCTCATGCCCACGGTGTTCCTCTGCACTGTCAGCTCCTCCATCTCTTAGTTCTTGGCACCACTCACAACCTGACTCCTACCCACAGAGTCCTCTCTCTGTTGACATCTATATCGCTCCTCACACTCTTCCCCATGGTTTTGGCTTATGTGTTAATATAGTCCAGACCATCCATTCATTCTCTACTGACCTTCTTCATTCATGTTACTAGACGTGCCTACAGAGGCAGCTAGAAGGAGAAGGTCATAATTACTTGGATATGGAATTGGTTGGACAGTCGCATCCAGAAGGTAGTGGCCAGTGGCTCAGAGTCCTGAGAGACATCAGTGACAAGCAGTGTCCCTCAGGGGTCCGTACTAGGACTAGTATTGTTTCATATCTTCATTAATGACACAGGTGAAGGGATCGAGTGCACCCTCAGCAGATTTTCAGATGATACAATGCTGAGTGGTGCCCTTGACGCACCTGAAGGACAGGATGCCATCTAGAGGGACCTGAAATCTCATGAGGTTTAACAAGACCAAGTGCAACGTGCTGCACCTGGGTCAGGGCAAACTCCGGTATTAACACAGGCTGGGAGATGAACAGATCAAGAGCAGCCCTGGAGAGAAGTACTTGGGGTTGCTGGTGGATGAGAGTCTGGACATGAACTGGCAATGTGTGCTTACAGCTGAGAAAGCCAATTGTATCCTAGGCTGCATCCAAAGCAGTGTGGCCAGCAAGTCGAGGAGGTGATTCTGCCCCTCTGTTCTGCTCTGCTCTGGTGATACTCCACCTGGAGCTCTGCATCCAGCTCTGGGGTCTCCAGCACAGGAAGGACACTGACCTTTTGGAGCAAGTCCAGAGGAGGCCACCAAGATGATCAGAGGGCTGGAGAACCTCTCCTATGAGAAAGGCTGAGAGTTTGTTCAGCCTGGAAAAGGATTATGGGTGATGTAATTGAGGTCTTCTAGTACCTGAAGGGAGCCTACAAGAAAGATGGAGAGGTACTTTTTACAGAGGCATGTAGTGACAGAACAAGGGGGAATGGCTTCAAACTGAAAGACAGTAGGTTTAGACCAGATGTTAGAGAGAACTTCACTATGAGAGTGGTGAGGCACTGGGATAGGTTGCCCAGAGAGGTTGTGGATGCCCCATCTCTGGAAGTGTTAAAGGTCAGGTTGGATGGGGCTCTAGTGAAAGATGTCCCTGACTATGACAAGAGGAGCAGAACTAGATGATCTTAAAGGTCCCTTTCAACGCAAGCCATTCTCTGATTCTGTCATTCTATGATAATTTCCATTGAGGGCAACCTTGTTTAACCTTAATATGAAAACTCTGTCAGTGGTAGAAGTTTCTCTTGTATTTGTAAAGAGAAAAGATGCATCTATGCTAAGGTGAAAGTGGAAGCAATCCCATTCCTAATAACAGAGAGCTGGGAGCCATTTTCAAAGACAGGGAAAAAAATGAAGGAAGATATAAAAAAATCCATAGACATTTCAGAAAAATGAGATATGCCTCAATTAAAAATAAATCCAATAAAAGCTATAAAGTATTAAAATCCTGGAATTCTCCAGTGGTAACTGTGGCTTACATAATTTCACTGATGTAGAAATGACTATATAACTGTGCAATATAGTGAAAATTAGTTTCATGTATCCTTCCCTGTCTAATTCCTGTCCTTTTTATAAAAACTAATTTAACTATATCATGTGAGGACAGGGATTCTAAGGTAAGGCAGTAAAAGGTTACTGTTTTCTACAAATGCTGGTAAAAGACAAATGAAAATGGATTGACTAGAATCTTTATGAAACAATCCTTCCACTGGTCCATGCCTGTTCAAGACATAGTTTATAGCACTCTCTTTAAAACATTTTTTCTGTGGTCATTACTGAAAAGTTTGAAAGAACATAGTCAACCTCAAATCAAACTTTTTTTCTGAATATATTTATCATCTAATAATTGAGGGAATATTACTTTTTGATGTGTTGACTGCAGATCTGATGGAATGTAGGCTGGTCAGCATTTCTCACAAATTCCTTCCATTGATGGAATTTTATGTATTCCATCAAAGGGAGAGCTGGGGGGAGGGTAGGGGGAATATGGCCTAGGAAAAAGGGTAGTACCAGAAATTACTTTGAAATTCTTACTAGCACTTGGAGTAGATAGGTAGGATGATAATGTCCTTCAATCAGCAGTCTGAAAAAAATCTTTTTAGGATGAGAATTAGCATCCTACACAATGCTGGGCTAAGTAATGCTCCTGCACACAAAGTTCAAGAAGATTAGATTTATGAACATGCATGAAGGTAAAGGGACAGAATGCTCTTCCCACAGGAATACCAATGAACAAACCACAAGATCTCTGTGGTTAAAGTCTTGTACTTAACTCTCAAAAGGAGAAATCAGCGAGCACAGATGAGGAAAGAGGCAGATGGTGATCAAACCCAGGTCTATGGAGAGATCTCTCTAAAGTCATCACTGCGTGTCCTTCAAAAGTCAACAGAAAACGTACAGCAGAGGTGTAGTCAGATTAGTCTATTCCACTGGTGGTTATTCAGGCATGTTCTTTTCGAGAAGAATTACCAACCAATTGTCAAGACTAGATTTGTAGGGAAGCCTGGTTTTTTAGCTAAAAACAATGATCAGGCAAGAGAATTTAAATGTTCAGCAGCATCTCAGTCTTCAAACCTCCATATATTCCTCTCTTTTGTACTGCAACTTTTGGTTTTCCAGG